AGGCTCTGCCCGAGCAGCGCGTCGACCTCCTCAAACACGGCGAGGCACTCGCCGACGGCGGTCCGCGCGGCGGCGACGGCGGCGTCGGAGGCCGTGGCGCCGGACGCGGCATCGGCCTCGAGCAGCACGGCGAGCTCGCGCGCGACGGTCGCCGTCAGGGACATGTCGCTCGCGAGGGCGCGGGCGTCGGCCGGGGCCGAGGCGAGGGTGCGCGCGAGGGTGTAGAGCTTCAGAGAGAGGCGGGCGCCGAACTCGGCGAGCGCGAGCGACGACGCGATGAGGCCTACGAGTTCGGCCATGGTGCGGTGCTCGCGAAGCGGGAGCGGTGGCATGGCAGTGAGCCTTCCCCCTCTCTTATTGTTGAGGGGATGTGGTCGATCCATCGTTCGGCTTAGTCATGACATGTTCCCCTTTCGAGTGAAGAGGGAGATCATCACGGGGAGATCACTCGACGCAGCCAGCTCTGGCTGACACACGAGCCATCAGGAGAAAAAGTAGTTCAGTTCAGTCTATGATAGTTTGTGCCGTCCCCGTCGCTATGTTGCCGTAGCATTCATCAATCACTTGCGGCCGTTACGTTGTAGAAGAGACAAGATCCCCCTCTCAAAACCCCTGCTCAAGCTAGAAAATTGGTCGTGTCACATGTCTCTAGTATCCCCTCCGCATGGCATTCCGCGAGCTGTCATAGACAAACTCCCGCTCCGTCACCCGCTCATCGAGATATTTGCTACGCGGCTTTCCGTATCGCTGCTGCTCTCGCCAGTCATGCTCCCACCGCGCACGGTCTTTGCGGTGCCTGCGTATCGTCTCGGTCAACTGGATGAGCTCTAGTACGTTATCCTGCAGAGATGGGTCAGCACGGCTGTCACAGCCAGGGGAAGCCAGGGCAAGCCATGGCAATGCGTCGCACTCACGTATTTGAGGTACTGCATCACATAGAAGAAGTCCTCCGTCTCCTCAAAGTCATAGCCACACTCAATGACGGCTTCACGACAGACGAGATCTCTCGTAATCTCCGTCCACATCTGATCCTGCTTGGGTTTCGGCGGAGCACGGGACGAGCCGCGACGGTCGCGCGACCGGTCGATTTCAATCTCCAGCTCGCGTTCATATCCTCCCAGCCGTTCACGCGAGTCCCGTGGCGCCGCCGGGAGTGGGGCGGGAGCAGGTGCGGGCACCATCTGGCCGTCGCGTTCAGGGACAAACTTGGTCCTGCGCACGCCGCTATAGCGCTGCCAGGACGTGTCGGTCGATCCGCCGCCGACGCCATCCATGCGTACCCTCTCCGTGCCAGGAGGCACATCAACAATGGTCCAGTCCTTGGTGGCGCCGTTCCATGCCTCACCCATGCGACCGCGAGAGTCAATTTTGGATGTGATAAATTCGGCCTCCTCATCGACAGGTGAGCGGAGAGGCGCGGCCGAGTGAGCCCGACGACGCTGGCCGCCATGGGTGTGATAGTGGCGATCCTCCACGCGGAGTGTGTCCCGATTATTGCTCACAACGAGCTCATGTCCGTGGGCGTGGATGTGGGGGGAACGTCGCTCCTGACTGGGCTCGCGATGGCGACTGCTTGAGCGATGAACGTCGACGTTGGTTCTGCCGCGGGAGGTGATGATGTCGATATCAAGCTGCCTCTCTTCGGTTCGGACAGACGGGCGTGGGGCCGGGCGCGGGGGAGGGGGCGGGCTGGGCACTCGAGTCACACCTAGCGCAGGTCAGCATTGTCGTCAACTCAGAAT